ATATATATAATATATAAACCTAACATATATATATTTATATATAAATTTGTTAGGTTTATTTAAAGAGAGAGAGAAACAGGAGAAGGAGAAAGAAACAGCTAAGTATCACAGTGAATGAGAGAATCCAGAAAGATGGAATCCAGGAGAGGAAAGCAGCTTCCACACTGAATGGAAGGGAATAGAGAGAGATGGAGTTTAGGAGGGAAAGACAGGCTTCCACGAGAGTGTGTGGAAGGGGACTCCAGAGGGGAAATCCAGGAGAGAGAAAAACAGCTTCCACGAAGGGAATGTTCGTGATCCACCTGCCTCGGCCTCCCAAAGTGCTGGAATTACAGGCGTGAGCCACTGCGACTGGCCCTTCAATTCTGTTCTTAAAAAACTTTTGAGACAGGGTTTCATCTGTTGCCCGGGATGGAGTGCAGTGGTGTGATCATAGCTCACTGCAGCCTCCAACTCCTAAGCTCAAGGAATCTTCCAGCCTCAGCCTCCCAAGTACTACAGGTGCATGCCACTATACCTGGCTAATTTTTAAATGTTTTAGAGAAATGGGGTCTGGCTATGTTGCCCAGGCTTGTCTTGAACTCCTGGCAAGCCCTCTGCCTTAGCATCCCAAAGTGTTGAGATTACAGATGTAAGCCATCATGCCCAGCTCCTTAAATATATTTAATCTTTCCAAGATTGTCACTAAAATATGCCTAAATGTACTTTACATTCCTGTGTAGTAACAGGGTTCCAGACCAAGCCTGGCCTCTGTGTGACCTTGAGAAACACACTCCACCTTTCTCTGTCCCTGAATTGTCAGTTTAAAACTAAAGGAACTGTACTACGTGTTTGATCTCTAAGGCCCAACTCTGGGTGGCAGCCCCCAAATCTTAAGGAAAATATGAAATAAAGAGAGAAAAGTAATAGACATTTTTATAGAATTTTAAACAAAAAGGTTGCTGGGTAGGACAGAAAGCAAACCTTCCCCCTTTCCTTAAATAGAGGATAAAGTCATTAGAGTTTGCTTCACAATTCTATTTGTACAAAGGAGCAAGTATAGGACTAGGACCCTGAGTCACTAGCGCCCACAGTGGAGGGACTGCACCAGGAGGACTGGCTCACGTATGAGGGTGCAGCACAGCATATACCCTCCAGAGGACTCTTATTTGTGAAATCCCATTAAAAGCAGGGCTGCAGCAGACATTAAAGGCCCTATATTGTATGATTCCATCTACCTGAAATGCTCAGAATAGGCAAACTTGTAGAAACAGAATGCAGATTCGTGGTTCCCAGGAGCTGGGTAGGAGAAAGAGGGAGTGATTGGTAATGGATTCCCTTTGGGGTGATAAAAATGTTTTGGAATTAGACAGTGGTGATGGTTATCCAACTCTGTGAACATGCTAGCCACTGAACTGTATACTTTAAAAGTGTACAATTTATAAGTATCTAAGTTGTATCTCAGCAAAGGTGGGAGGTCTATCTTTATAATAGAGATTTCTATGATTATCTAGTGGTCTGCCTCCTGTTATCAGTAATAGAGGAAACTAAGGAGATTAAGGTAATTATGTCAACAGTTCTTGATAAAAGGAAGGCTGGAATTAGATTCTGAATTGCGTATATAGAGTGGCCAAAAATTCTAGAAACTAGAAGTCAGAGATTAAAGGCCTTGTTCTCAAAGAGCTCAAAGGGAAATTATGCACACAGAAAGAATAACCAGTAGGAAGGGGAGTATACAATAAGATGGTACTGGTTGCTCCCCAGTGAGCACTGGCCAAGTCTTCAACCATCCACATGCTCCAGCACAGACCCTGACCAGGAGCCAGGTGCACCTGAGCTTCACTTGCAAACTTCCAAAGGGAGTGAGTCATAAGAAAAGCTAGGAAACCCAGTGAGCTTTTCCAAATTTCTTCTTTGCATCCTGCAGTCTCTTTACCCAATACTGACACTACTACCCTTCCTGTGATGGCCCAAAAAGAGGAAACAGCAAAAGCAAAAGCTGAAAGGTGAGAAAGGAAGGAAATTTCTGGCAATAGTTTGGCAAGATCACCAACTCCTTCCAGAGGTCACAGCAGCCAAAGTGACCTTAAAACATAAATTGTATCGTGTCATCCCCTAAGACAATCAAAAAATGCAATCAAAAAATGCAAACTCCCTACAACCATCTGGAATGAAATGCACACTTCCACCACTGGCCCTGCCTGCTGGCACCTGCACCTCTCTGGTGCCTCCCCCACCACTCTGCTTACACAGAGCTAAGCTGTCTGCTGCCTCAGGGCCTGACACATTCTCCTCCTTCTGCCTGGCTCTGCTCTTGCCTGGCCCCTTCTCATTCCTTAAGTCCTAGTATCTCAGATGAATAGCTGAAGAGGCTCTTTCCTGTTATTCTCTACCAGAGCTGTTTATTTACTTTAGAGGGTTTACCACACACTCACTACTTTGCCTATTTCTTGCCTGGGTAGACTGCTCATTCAAAAAGGACAGAGAGGCTGGGCGCAGTGGCTCATGCCTGTAATTCCATGACTTTGGGAGGCAGAGGTGAATGAATCACCCGAGGTCAAGGGTTCAAGACCAGCCTGACCAACATGGAGAAACCATGTTGGTCTCTACTAAAAATACAAAATTAGCTGGGCATGGTGGTGCACGCCTGTAATACTAGCTACCCGGGAGGCTGAAGCAGGAGAATCGCTTGAACCTGGAGGCAGAGGTTGCAGTGAGCCAATATGGCGCCATTGCACTCCAGCCTGGGCAACAAAAGCGATACTCTTTCTCAAAAAACAAACAAAAAGGACAGAGAGCAAGTCTACCTTATTTCTTGCCATATCTAAAGTGCTACCACATTGCCCTGCATGTGACTGGCATTTAATTTTTGCTAAATAGATTAACCGGTATCTTAAAAAATAACTCTGGCTGGGGAGCATAAGAGTTACAAGAGGTATGGCGAATAATTAAAACAAAGGTGACTGCTATGGTTTGAATATTGTGTTCCCCCAACAACCATATGCTGGGACCTATTACCCAATGTTGTTAGTATTAAATAGTGGGGCCTTTAGGAGGCAATTAAGACATGAAGGCTTGGCCAGGATCCCAGTACTTGGTGGATCACTTGAAGTCAGGAGTTCAAGATCAGCCTGGCCAACATGGCAAAACCCTATCTCTACTAAAAATACAATAAGTACCCAGGCGTGGTAGTGCATGCCTGTAATCCCAGCTACTAGGGAGGCTGAAGCAGGAGAATTGCTTGAACTTGAGGGCAGGGGTTGCAGTGAACCAAGATTGCACCAGTGTGCTCCAGCCTATGTGACAGAGAGATTCTGTCTCAAAAAAGAAAAAAAAGAAAAGGAAAAGACATGAGAGCTCTGCCCTCATGAATGGGATTAGTGTCCTATAAAAGAGACTTGAGGGAGCCTGTTGGCCCCTTTGACCATGTTAGGAAGCAGTGAGAAGATACCAACTTTGAAGAAGGAAGCAAGCCCTCACCGACCCAAATCTGCTGGTGCCTTGGTCTTGGATTTCCCAGCCTCCAGAACTGTGAGCAATAAATTTCTGTTGTTCATAAATTACCCAGTCTAAGGTATTTTGTTATAGCAGCCCAAACAGACTAAGTGATCATAGGTCACACTTTGGATTTTGATGCTACTAAAGAGCACCATTTTCAAACTTTTCTTTCTTTTGGACAGTTATACAATCATATTGGTTAAGCAATGAACAGACTTAATTAGCCTAATGTAACACTGACTGAATGTTTGCTCATGGGGGTCTCATGCTTTATACTGTGCACACAATCCCATTTTTCCTTGAGCCTCCTCCATAAAGCAGAGCCTAGGGTAGGCTTCAGGGGTGGCTACCTTTCAGTAGGTAAACTTTCTGGATATGACTAAGTGTCTTTACCAAACTAACACAGTAAATACTACTTAGGTAATTGCAATTTAATTATTCAAATCAGAGCTAACTTCTAAAACATGTTTCTTCTCGTAGTCATAGACTAAATTCTAGCCTGACTAGTTACAAACAAAAGGTGTAATAATGTGCTATCTGTATTTTAGCCTCCTAGTTGAAATTTTTTCTTCCTTTATTTTTACACCTGTGGTTGAAGAAAGTAGCAGAGACCAACTGAATGAAGGCAAAACCCACTGATTTTCTTGGAAAGAACTGTAGAGCACAACAAAATTCATTTGTGGAGAGGAATAATTCCTACCTGAACGAATGGAAAAGTGAAACTGTAGAATCAAAAATAAATACTTGGTAATAAATTCAGATCCTAATCACAAAAATTCATTTTTAATTAGCTCAATTATGTAAATGAATCACATATAACCAATGAGCTATATTATGAGCATTAAAAAAATTTTTTTAAATTAATTAAATTTATTTATTTTTTTTTTAGAGGCGGGTTTCACCGTGTTGGTCAGGCTGGTCTCCAACTCCCGACATCAGGTGATCCATCCGTCTCAGCCTCCCAAAGTGCTGGGATTACAAGCATGAGCCACCACGCCCGGCCTTGTTATGGAGCATTTTTAAATGTTTGTTTTTGTTTTTATACTACGGTAAGCATTTCCCAAGTTTGCCTGTAATGCGTGGCTTTTTCAAAATAATAATAATAAACTTCTCCCTAGTGTCTGAATTAACACAATTATAAATTAAGGAAAACCTAATTGATGGGGTTTTACTCTCTAGGTACATTTATATATGGTGAAATATTCATTAAAATAATTACTAGAAAGAAGTGCTCACCTCCCTGTACCTTCTGAGATCCTCCCACCAGTAAAGGCAGGACGACAGAGTGGTAGCGCTTTCCATTTAGTGTGCCAAAGAGAGAGGACACTGGTCACCAGCATAATCTAATGAAAATACCTTTAGGCTGATTGTCAGGAGATAGGGATTAACTTAAATTTCCAAAAAGGTGAACAGTACCCCCAACCCTTCATTTTCCTCCTGGTAAATGCAGATGTGCAGTCTACCGCAACAGCCCGGGGAGTGGGCGGGGAGGGAAGGGGAAGGCTGCAGGGTGTGTGACTTACGAGACGTAGGCTGGGTAGCCAAATCCTATCAGGTTGCAGAGGAGAGAGGCTCCATAACCGAACACAAGGTACAAGGCCACCAGTCCAATGACACCTGGGGACCACAAGGAGAGAAGTAGGTTGGGCGGCAAGAGGCGCTCATGCGGCACAGCCGCCGCCCACACCGCGAGGCTGGGCCTGTTCTAGGCGTTTTCCTCCCGACTCGATTAAAGGAGCGAGAAAAACAAACCACACCAAGGCTGGGCCTGCGCGTCCGCGGAGCCCTGCCTTGAAGTCTGGGGATACCACGCAGCTACCACCTTTGTGTTTCTCCTACCTCCCGCAGGGGGCCCCGGCGCTTCGCGCAACAACCCTGGGCGTCCGGAAAGGTCCGGGGCACCCCCGTCCGCCCTCTCGCAGGGCCCGTGGGGCAGCGCCCCAGCCCTGGAAGCTGCGGTCCGCGGGGAGAGTCCCGAGAGGCCCGGACTCCCGCACCCTCTGCAACAGCAGCCCCCGCCCACCCGAGGGGGCGCCCCTCCCCAGGCGGAGCTTCACCGAGGGTCGGATAGGACCGGCTACCTCCGTCACCTCACCCGCCCGCAGGGGCCCCGCCGTCCGCGGCCACCGTGCGGGACCGCGGGAACAGGGCGCCCAGCCGCGGAGCGGACACGTCAGCGCCGGCCTTTCCAGCTGCCAGCGCCGAGCGCCGCCGCTGCCCTCCAGCCCCGCGACCCTCAGTACCCGCCGCCCCGGCGGGGTCTCTGATCCCCGCGCTTTCCGGGAGGCCAGCCTGGTCTCTGAGGATGCTGCTCGTCCCGTCTGTCTCCGACTCCACCTCTCCCGAGTCCTCTCCCGCTTCCTTCCCAGCAGCTGTGGCAGCAGCGGCTCCCGGGGCCCGGCCAGCGGCGGCGAGCCCAGGCCACTCACCAAGCGCGATGAAGCTCCGGTTCACGCCGGTCTTGGCCTCGAGCTTGGCCAGAAGGTCAGTCATGCAGTTCTTCTCGTGCAGGAACCGGTCGAACCTCTCCCTCATGGCCGCAGACATGGCGGTGACCGTCGCGCCGCCCGGGCTGCTCCTAACGCCGGGTGGACTGGAGCGGGGACTGCAGCGGGGCGGTGGCAGGCGGGGACCGCTGCGCGTCTACGCGTCCTCCGCTCGCCTCTGCTCGCCCCGCCCGGCCTCCGCTCGCCCCTCCTCCCCCGCCCCGCGTCCCGCGGACAGCGCCACACCCGGGCGGGGCGGGCCTGCACCTCCGCGGGCGCTGCGAGGTGGCCTGGCTGTTGACAGCCTTAACTCATTGCGGAGTAAAAAGGGTGTGGTGCAGGGACATGTATTTTGTGTCTCTTGAGGGCCCCCTTCTCAAATAGGCCTATTGCAAAAAGCCAGGCAGAAAGGAGGCAGGCGTCTTTGTTGCTCCCGCCTGAAATTTAATGAGACGAGTTTGGCACCTACTTTGCTATGCTAAACCTGCTAAGGCATTTTTGATCTAAAAAATGGAAACGTATGAGCATCCTGAAAAACTCTTTGGATGCAGGCCTGCTTTCTCCCTCTTTGCCTTAACTCGGCAGTTTTTCTCACCTACAGACAATCGTTGCCTTGAAAAGACTCTCGAATAAATCTAACATATCCTCCCTGCGGTACGCCTTTTCCAAAAAAGCCCTGGGTTAAATTTTTTTTATGGTGGGGTTGCGTTGCCTTGTTGTCTGATGCCGAGGAAAGTATCCAAATTCTCTCTGTGGAGCCATGTTGCCCAGCCTGGTCTCAAATTTGTGAGCTCAAGTAATCTGCCCACTCGGCCTCCCAAAGTGCTGGGATTACAGGCATGTGCGGTTGCGCCCAGGCTCAAAATTTGATTGTTTTATTTATTATTTATCTATTTTAGCAAAGGAGCAAAATCCCTTTAAGTTAGATGTTTAAATCAACCTAGGTTTCTGTCACTACATTTCATGCAGTGGCAATATTTGTACTACATTAACTATGCATGGAGTATCTGGAAACATACTATTCATTTGGATTTCTTCCTTTTTTTCTTTCTTTTTTTTCCCAGACAGGATCTTGCTCTGTTGTCCAGGATCTAGTGCAATGATGCCATCATGGCTCACTGGAGCCTTGACTTATTGGGCTCACACAATCCTCCTACCTTGACCCCCAAAATGCTGGGATTATAGATGCCAGCCACTGTGCCCAGCCCTTGGCTTTCTTTCTGTAAATATTGCTCCCTCTTTTTGTGTAAAAATTGCTCTCTTTTCAATTTTCTCCTGACATAGATTCCAAATGTCTTCTTTTCTTAAGCATTCAACCAATGGTGAGGCAAAGCAGTATAGTAAGGTATAATGTATGGAGTTCTATCTCTGGATTCACTCTATATGAGCTAAATCCCAGCTCTGTCATTTAGCTGTGTGACTTTGGGCAAGGTACATTAGCTCTCTGTGCTTCTGGCATCTCATCTGTAAAACAGGGATAAAAATAGTACCTATTTCACCGAGTTCTCATCATAAGGTGAGTTACTATTTGTAGTGCTTTTAGAAGGGCACTCAGTGCAAAGTGTTTAAATCATTTAAGAAAGAAAAAAAGCACAGCTAAGTGTAAATCTTTTTTTGTTTGTTTTGTTTTGTTTTGAGACAGGGTCTAGTTCTGTCACCCAGGCTGGAGTGCGGTGGTGCAATCTCAGCTCACTGCAACCTTTGCCTCCTGGGCTCAAGCCATCCTCCAACCTCAGCCTCCCAAGTAGCTGGGACTACAGGCACACGCCTCCAAGCCTGGCTAATTTTTGTGTTTTTTGTAGACATGGGGTTTTACCATGTTGTCCAGGCTGATCTTGAACTCCTGAGCTCAAGTAATCCTCCCACCTCGGCCTCCCAAAATGCTGGGATTACAGGCGTGAGCCACCATGCCCAGCCTCTAAAATTGAGATAGCAAAATATCACATTATTTTTGCCTTTAGGAAATTACAATCAGATTCGGGGAGTATGGGATCCTAGTTTATCCTATCAACACTGTATACCTTAGACTCTTTCATAGAAGAGGAAAGAGATGCAGAAGATAAAAACCCTGCCAAAAGTCTCAGACTATTCACTTACTCATATTTACTAAATATATCCTGTGTGCCAGATGCTATTAGACCTGGGAACCAGATAGACAAGATCTGTTTTGGTGGCTGTGAAGACGGCTGGCCTGGAACCAGTTTACTTTGGCAATCTCTTTCTTTTTTTGGGGGGTGGGCGATGGAGTTTCGCTCTTGTTGCCCAGGCTGGAGTGCAATGGCCTGATCTTGGCTCACTGCAACCTCTGCCTCCCAGGTGTAAGCGGTTTGTCCTGCCTCAGCCTCCTGAGTAGCTGGGATTATAGGCACACACCACCATGCTCGGCTATTTCTTGTATTTTTAGTAGAGAGGGCATTTCACCATGTTGGCCAGGATGGTTTCAAATTCTTGACCTCAGGTGATTCTCCTGCCTCGGCCTTTCAAAGTGCTGGGATTACAGGTGTGAACTACTGCATCCAGCCAACTTTGGCAATTTCGTTCTTTCCTTTTTCTTCTTATTTTTTTTGAGACAGAGTTTCGCTCTTGTTGCCCAGGCTGGAGTGCAATGGCACGATCTCAGCTCACCACAACCTCCGCCTCCCAGGTTCAAGCGATTCTCCTGCCTCAACCTCCTGAGTAGCTGGGATTACAGGCATGCACCACCACGCCCAGCTAATTTTGTATTTTTAGTAGAGATGAGGTTTCTCCATGTTGGTCAGGCTCATAGCCTACAGGGTGGCATGAAGTTTTGCTTTTCTTTTTATGTAAGAGAAGGACCAGAAGGAGTCAGACCATTTTGCCCACTTCCTTTCATGATGAGACGCCAGAGAAAGTCAACACGAATAAAGAAACTGACCAGGCCAGGTGCTATGGCTCATGCCTGTAATCCCAGTACTTTGGGAAGCCAAGGCAGGAGGATCTCTTAAGCCCAGGAGATTGAGATCTCATCTCTGTAAGAAAAATTTTTAAAAATTAGCCAGGTATGATGGCATGCTCCTGCAGTTTCAGCTACTGAGGGGACTAAGGCAGGAGGATGGCGTGAGCCAGGGAGGTTCAGACTGCAGTGAGCTATGATCACACCAGAGTGAGACCCTGTCTCTTAAAAAAAAAAAAAGAAAGAAAAAAAAAAGAAAAGAAAAGAAAAAGAAACTGAGCAGTTATATTAAATTTATATTGCTACTGTAACAAATTATCCCAAACTTGATGGCTTAAAACAACACAAATTTTATTCTGTTACACTGCTCTGTGTCAGGCTCACTGGGTTAAAATCAAGGTGCTATCTGTAGGGCTTTGTTCCTTTTTGGAGGCTTAAAGAAAGGTCCGTGTTTTTTTGCTCACTGGGTTGTGGCAGAATTCAGTTTCTTGTGGTCACAGGACTCAAGTCCCCATTTCCTTCCTCATCTTCAAAGCCACTGCCAGCAGCAGTCAAATCTCTCTCATACTTCAAATGTCTCTCCCTTTTTCTTTCATCTAACCTCTCTGAGCCATCTGCTTTCTACTTCTACCTTTGAGAACTCCTGTGATTAGATTGGGCCCACCCAGGTAATCCAGGATAATCTCCCCCATCTTAAAGTCTATATAACTTTAATCCCATCTGCAAAGTCCCTTCTGCCATGCAAATTAACATCTTCACAGGTTTGGGTATTAGGGAATGGACATTTTTGGGTAGGGATGGAAGTCATTATTCTGCCTACTACACCAGTCTTACATGTGGGGCCCATAACTAGCATCAAGGTCCCTGGAAAGAATGAACATGTTGAGATCAGACAGCTTGTGTAAATCCTTTCACTCACGTCGAGCACCATCCCAGGACATGGCACAGGGTCAAAGCACAGGCCCTGGAGCAGATACCTTGGCTCCCTTACCTACTAGCTGTGCACTCTTGGGAAAGTTCTCAACCTCCAAATGCCCCACTGTTCTCAGCCCATAAAACAAAGATAATGCTAGTGTCTACTTCATATGGTTGTTGGAATAAATGAGACATTCCACATAAAGCACTTCCAGAGTCCTTATTTGAAGGACACATATATCAATTAAGTAGACATTAACAAGAGTTTATGCCCAAAATTATACTATCTTGTCCTATTCCTTTGATTCAAGGATTTGGTACATGTGAAAATAAAAATGCTCTCGCAAAAATAAGAGCACATTTTCATCAATAATTTGACTATGGGAAAGAAGGAGGAAAAGAAAATGTATACTGAGCACCTATTTTGTGTTAGACAATTTGTATGTATGAAGGAGCTGACAGCATATTTTCATTGAGTCAGGGGTCACTAATCCTCAGACTACCTGAGGATTAAAAAGTAGTCTTTTCCAAGGTACAAAGTAGGGAAACAAAACTGCTTATTTTTCAGTTTTGTCTATGATCCTTGACTAACCCTTGGCCAAGTGAAAGGGACCCTCCAGATATACACAGATGTGGGCAAGGAACTGACCTACAAACACATATCAGGTCAAAGTCAAGCTGTTCTCTGACATGCAGCCGGCTGATTTATGCAGCTCTTTATCACTTAGCAGTCTCTTAATGCTTCCTGTCTCTCCCCAGTCTCTGACCTTCAGCCTTTTTTGGATGAGTTTTGGCGAATGTTCCTCTGGCTCTTGGACCTCAATCATGCTGTTACCACACTGGATGACTCAAGTATGTACCTCTTCCTTTCACGACATAAATAACTTTTTCTTTATGATGAGCTCTGCCATGCAGTTAGGAAAGAATTACTTGACCACATAGGCTTTTGCTTTTTACCCAGGATAGTCTCTCTAAAATCCATGCTGATGGAGATTTATAACTAGTTAGTGTTTGGGGATTTGGAATAAGGTTTGGGAGGACACACTTGTTTTTGTTTTTTTCATACCATTTTTCTTAACACCTCTTTATTCACAGCCATAACAAAAACACCCTACTATAAGTGAGAATTCATTAGTCTAAAAAAATTACAATATATACTGTCTCCAAACAGCACCAACTATTGTATGCATCATGTTAACCAGCTTTATAGAATTTACTGATAGTCATTGCTTCTCTGCCTCTTGGCTAAGATCAAGGGTAGAATGTACTGAAAGTCACAAGTGAGACTCTAATTTAATACTTTTCTTTTTTGTTGTTGTTTTCTTTTTCTTTCTTTCTTTTTTTTTTTTTTTTGTTAATTGGGTACTTTTGATGGTCTTTTTTTTTTTTTTTTTTTTGACATGGAGTCTCGTTCTGTCGCCTAGGCTGTACTGCAATGGCACGACCGTGGCTCACTGCAAACTCCATGTCATGGGTTCGAGTGATTCTCCTACCTCAGCCTTCTGAGTAGCTGGGATTACAAGCACACACCACCAAGTGTGGCTAATTTTT